TATATATATATATATATATATGTATATATACGCCTAAAACTACAAAAGTTTATTTGGTTCTTTGAAGTATTCTATACACGCATAAATTTTACAGCACTAAGTATTAATCCTCTGTAAAAATGTAAAAAGGCTGAAACGTTTAAAAACAAATTATTTAGTGTTATACATATCGTAACCACGTGCTCAACACTGTCAAGACCTTTGCTTGCTGTGATAAAGTAAAGATTATTGACTAAACAATTTGTTTTTAAAATGCAATACATTATGCTAACTGGATAGCCCACCTCTTTTTCAAATATTCTTTTATCGCATTGGAAACTCAGAAATTATTCTTATGCTCTGCAAAAATAAAGTTGTCTCGATAATAAATTTTTGCCAATTTAACTAGGATATGTTACTTAATTATAACCGTCCATATCCGATAAAAAAATTAATATTATGTTACGCTGAAAAAACTGAATAAAAATTTTAATAATATAAATTTAACATGTTAAGTAGACTAACTTTAATCACACACACGCGCGCGCACACATACATACAATAGTGGTAAAAACAGTCCTTTGAATAAATGGCAGAACAAAAGGCAAGCTTCTCCTCTTAGTTTTGTACTTCATTCGGTATCTCTCACTTTTCTAAACACGCATAAACTTTTGTAGCTAAGCGTTGTGTAATTAACAAAAAATCTCACGAATACTTAGCTTAAGGAAACTGAGTTAATCATCTTGAAGGAGGCTTAGTGGATCCTCGATAATTTTCTCGGCCGTTTTCTTCAAGTCTTTAGTCACCGGTTTCTTGACGACCGATCTTGAACTTGGTGCGATCGTCGTACTTGCTTTCGATTGCGTCGACGCAGATGGCTGTTTACCGAAAATATAGCCGTCGTCGTCATCATCGTCCGACAAAAATAGGGACTTGGACAACTTAGGTGCGACAACTTTCTTAGGAACAATTTTCTTCGTGGCAAAAAGGTCGCTGTCGTCGTCATCACCGTCGTGCGACACATTACCGAAGATATCTTTCAAATTCGAGCTCTTGGTTTGAAAGTCGACTTGAGAATCTTGTTTAAGCTCCGAAAACGACGCGCTGTCCGATTTCTGCGAAAGGCCTGATGACTCGACAAACACGCTGGAATCATCATCTTCTTCTTCTTCTTCTTCTTCTTCTTCTTCTTCTTCTTCTTCTTCTTCTTCTTCTTCTTCTTCGTCGTCGTCGTCATCGTCGTCGAAAATATTGTCCTTTTTTCGACCGGTTGAAATAGAACTTGATGATTGATTATTTAATTTCGCTTTACTGGACGAATTGCCAAAGAGACTGTCGTCATCGTCATTTTGCGCGTCATCATCGCCGAAGAGACCGATCTTTGTATCTCGCAACGGCTTTTTCACCGTCCTTTTCAATGGTGCTGTGGAAAATAAATCACCGCCTACGTTGTCGTCTGCAAACAGATCTAAGACTTTCTTCTTCGGCTCATTTGGCTTCTTCGCCGAACCGCTAGAGAAGAGACTATCGTCCGATTCAGAAAATAATAGTCCTTTGCTTTTTTCTGGCGATGGCGTCTTCGTGACAAACGCGAACAACTGACTAGGATCCTTCAACGGATCATGGGTGCTGTCGCGCAGAGGATCGCTCAATTCCTCGCTAGACGCTCTTATTACCTTATCTTGCTCATCATCAACTTCTTTATGCTTATCATCCTTCTTTTTAGGACTCTCCAACGTATCTGATTTGGTATTAACATTCAATTGTGCAAATTCACTAGAATTTCGTTTATTACTTTCGTTGTTCATTGCATCCACACCGGTATCCATATCATCGATCTTTCTAATTACGGTATCTAAAGGTTTGACAACGACGAGCGTTTTATCTGATTGCCCGTCGATCGGTGAGAGTATTGGCGCCCTGCCAAATAAAGTGTCCTCCTTCTGTGGATCTTCTGGCAAATCTGGTGGCACATCAAACAAGTCCTCTTCGTCAGTGGATGGAGACAGAAGAGTGTTCTTGTTTACACTCATCGAGCTCTCCTTGCTAATGCTACCCAATTCAGATTTGTCGTCCGTGGAAGCAGGATCTACCGCCGAGCGATGAATATTATCATTGGCGGTCAAGCGATCGGAGACACTGATCGTCAGAGCGGCAGATGGGTCTTTGCTAGATGAACAGGTGCTAGTATGACTCTCCTCCTGAGAATTGTCGTTGTCCGCATTGTCAACCGTATCGAAGTCGATACCGCTGTGCCGCAAGGCAGATTTTCGGGCGTGTCGACTTTGAGGACGGCGTTTCGCTTGAATTCTCACTCGGCTCTAACAATTTAAGAAAAAAGTTATAACTTAATTTCAGAAAAATATATTAAAAACATTTTTAATTTCTCTTTATTAATGTATATTTTCTGTTCTCAGAAAGTTTTATAAAATATATATTATGTATATAACTTAAATAAATCAATATAATCAATTTGATAAGCACCTTGGACGCGGTAGTAGATAATGTTTCTACTTGAGCCAGATCATCGAAATTTATAGCCGCTTCTGCGTTACTAGTAGTGGAAATTGTCGAATAAGAAGATTCCTTCAGTGTGCTACCTTCTATAAAAAAATATTTAAATTATGTATCTTTTCACTCTTATTTAAAATAATTTAAATTAATTAACAAATTTTATAAATAAAACGTTAGACCTCATTCGTTATAATAGATATGTTTATATACATATATAAGTATGATACTCGTTATAATAGATTCTTTTTATGAGAATTTAAAATGTTTTAAAAATGTTCAATCGTTGTTATGTAAATCATTTATAAACTTATCTCCGTACTTTTGAATTCGTGATGTATAAGACTTTTTTCCATGTACGACAAAGATTAGACTAAAAAAAATTGAGACTTTTTAGCAAGCAAAAATCTTGTTAAACTACCTGATATACTTGGAGGTGAAACGTGACCACTGATGCCTAGATCTGCGATGTCTCGATCCACGACATCTTCTTCCTCATCCGTCTTATCTTCGCTTTTTCTCCATAATGGCGGTGCATCCATGGGTGAAAGTATCTTCAAATCACTCATCTTGCCCATGAGATTCTTTATCTTACCAGACACCAAACGTCGAGGCACTTGTTGATTGCCATGTTCCTCGGATGGCGGTGAAATCGTCCGGATACTCAGAGTTTTCGGTGGTGAATTTTTTTTCACTATGCCGTCTTCCTCGTTGGAAGATGTTTCCTTGATTTCAGTTTCACTCTTTTCCTCGTCTACGTTGTTCCTCGCGACGACGTTGGACTCTATGATTGTCTTGACATCACGATTTAAATTTGATGACTCTACTGGGCTTTTATTTTCTTCAGGAAGTTCCTGTGCCTGTTCGGCAATGTCTTTTTTGATTTCGTCTTTGGATTTCAATTGGTCCTTATCACATGACGCTGTGTCTTTTTTACTAAAAAGATCGTCGTAATCATCGTCTTCAAACAGAAGATTATGGGGTCTTGTTCTTTTCGAAAATAGTTCGTCCAAATGATCTGAAGGATCGTTTCTATTCTTCTTTTCAGTTTCGAGACTAGAAACGTTCTTGGAGACGTCGATCTTTGGTTTAACGTCGATTTTTGCTACATCTTTTTCTATCGAAGAGGTCTTGGTTAGAAATAAATCATCCTCATCCTCGAAGAGATCGATCTTACGTTCATTCTTTAATTTCATCGGCTTCGCGCCAAACAGATCGCCATCGTCGTCATTATCGTCAAACAGGCTGATCTTCTTTGGTTCCATCCTCGTATTTCGTGAATTATCTAACAAAATTTGAATTTTTAATTACTAATATTTTTCTTCATATTTTCTCTTTATATGAAACGTAATATTTGCATTGATTATAAAAGTTTTCTTTATTCCAAACAGATGATCGTAATGTCCTTTACATTACTATAAATTATATCTTTACATTACCATAAATTAAAATGAAACAATTTCTTACCTATTTTATATAAAAATGCAGTACTTTCTAATAAAATATAATTCTCATATTTATACGTCGCAATAAAAAAAATGAAATTATCGCACTAAAAAGTGAAACATAATTTATATAAGAGATTAAAAAGAAATTACAAAGCGTGCTCCACTTACCGTTATTATTCTTAGGTATTACCGAGCTCGGACCATTTGAAGCTGCATTTTTTGAACCTGGTGCTACCCCAAATATATCGACATCTGGAGCGTCTTTACCGCCGAATATATTTACGTTGTCATCAAACAGATCGCCACTTTTCGAGACTGACTTCGTTCGGTCACTCGATGACACCGTGTTGTGAAAATCCGTGCTCTTCTGCGATCTAGAGCCAGAACTAGCGACGGAGAAGAATTCGTCGCCGGAATCGGAGTCGTCGAAGAGCGACGAGACTTTCGATTTGTTTGTACGCTTCGAGTCCGATTTGTTAGGTAATGGTGGTGGTCCGAACAGGTCGTCGTTTTCGAACACGTCGTCCTGTAATAATGCCGACGAAATATCCTGCTGCTGCTGTTCCAATTGTTGTTGTTGTTGCTGCTGCTGATTGTCGCTGTTGGCGTTGGCAGGATAGTGCGTTCGTGCCTCAAATAAGCTGTCACTGGTAATACGCTCACGATAGATCTCCTCGGACTTAACTCTTGTGGAGGTCATACACGGACTAAAAATGTTCCTGAAAAAAAAAAGGTCATTAAACAGAACAGTCCGACATGCAAATAAGCGCCACCTTAGCATGAATCCGTTCATCAGATAGATTTTCATTGCTTTATGATTCTTGCTTGATATCATTCAGCCTTAGAGTCAGTGTCACATTATCTTTCAAAGACAGCGAATAAATGCCGTTTTGGTACGAATTAATCGACGATTTGTGTTACTCGCATTTTCTACTTGCCTTCAAATCGTTAAAAATCAGAGAATTATTCGCACAAGTAGTCGCCAATAAAATCCACTTACAAAATAGCTTATAAGCATTTAACAATTGTGTTCTTGATTATTTTTTTCTTTTAAATTACTTCAGATCTTAACCACTCAATTATGATAATGATTAAATTGAAAGTCAAATAACGAGAGAACCAACAATTACGAAAGGCAACACATTCGACAATATTGAAGAACAGATCACCTTAAACTAGCAACAGTATTTAAGCGTCACTACGCGACCATGAACAAGTTGAATGACTAATGTTTGGATCATCAATAAAGAAAGTCCTGTATATCATTTCGTGTCCGTTGAGAAAGAGTACAAATCGTTACAACAAATAAAAAAAAACGACACTTTTAACTTCTTAGATTATTCTGTGTTAACACTAAACGTACCAAGATTTAATGTATACCTATTTGTACTGTAACCGGTAAAATGACCTGTCGCGATAAATAACGCTAATAGGCTATACGTGTTTATCAGATTTAACAAATAAAAATATAAATAAATGATGTAAAATTAATTGTATATATTTAATAGAAAAAGTCATTAAGTCAAATGTGAAAAAGCGATAACATTTCATGCGAATTTTCTAATCAAAAGTTTACAACCGGTCATTTGACCGGGTCATGATACGTTTAGTATTAAGACGAGCCGAATGTACATTTTAATCAAAAGGTTCGGGCGAGTAGAAAAAACTAATCATAAAATCATCTATCATCATAAAAATCATCTATCAAAATGCAAATACATAAAAAATACAGAAAATTGAATGTTAAATTTAATAATAAAATTTTGTAATAATTATGAATATATAATGATTATGCGATATGAAACGGAATAAGTGAAGGTAAGATCAATGATACTGAAGGTAAGATCGTGCAACTGATATCGGTAAGTTTGATATTGAATTGTGATCCTCCTTGCTCTTTTTATCTTCTTGCTATCGGTACGTGTGATATCGCACATTTTGCTTTATGTTTGTGTTTGTGTAGAATTGAAGATGTTCTTTTAAAAACATCATGAAAGAGAGAAACATGACATATAAAAATCGTGATTTTTTAATTCATTATCGCCTCTTCTTTCTTATGGTAACTCCATAAACAAGAAAAAGATGAAGGGTCACGTTTGCGCAATCTTGTTGCTGATGTGCACTAGACTAGCATACTCTACTACGGAAGAAAATGGTATGTTGCATAATTTGCTAAGGAATTAACGCTAAGGAAAAGACATTATGTCCAGTAACTACAATTACATTATAAATATACGTAGAACAGATTAGCGAATTTACAAACGACGGAATTTAGCAGTTAATATCCTTTTGTAAAGATTTTTTTTCCTGCTATACTAAAAAGACTGTTACACATATTACGTGCATCCTTGATATTTTATTGTATTTGAATTATGTATAAATCCTCTTAAATTTACAAACTAGACAACTATTATCATTCCAAAATTAATATAACTAATAATATCAAAATGAATAAATCTTTGAATCACATCTTCGAATACTTTCGGTTTTTACTTATAAAGATTTACGTTTAGATTACTGCCCATTTGGATCCGGGAGAATGAAACTGAATACGTACATGACTTCTTATCCGTGCATGCTGGTGCGTTGTAATCCGAATGGAAGGCTCTCTTTCATGTCGTGAGTCAAAATTTTATATAATATAATATTATGTTTTTATATAATTTTATATAATAAAGCATGTATAAAATAATTTATAAAATATCTAGAAAAATTTTCTCATAATAAATTCTTATAACATTATAAAACACATTTATTATTTGGCAAATCTGTATGCACATCTGTATATTAGATTTTCCGGAACTCAAAAATATTCTGCTGAAAGAAAAAAATAATAAATACATTTGTCTTTCTCATATATAATTATCAGTTGTTGATCCTTAATCTCGGAAATTGACTTTTAGACAACGATCCACTAATATAATTACCTTGATTCAGGCTTTATTGCAAATGTATAGAAAATGTGTGATTAGTTATATTACAACATTAATCAATGAAGTAAAAATATGCTTAAGAAAAGGAACAATAAGTTTTTTCATATGATACTAAAGTTTAATTTACTAAATTCTTCCAAATTCACGAGAACTATTACAAAAAACTATTTTTAAAAATTTAGAAAAATTAGTTTTAAATAATTTTCATTCTGTATATCAGAAAAAATAATTACATACATACATAGAAAACAAGAAAATCAAATAGAAAATCTCATATTACCTCACATTTCTAAGTTTCTCTTTTCTTCCTTTTTTTTGATTATTTATTCTAAACAATTAACATTCTCTATTTCGTAATGGGAACTGCACAATACGTTATACTGTCGTAATTTCAATACCAATATGAAAAGAGAATTTCTATCAAATTTCTTGTTTATAATCCAATTCTATTCTGTTTCATTCCAGATGCCCTAGCTCCATTTGTGCAGATTGGGAATATACGATTCGTATACCGCCCACGAACAAATACGATGAGTATCCATATTGCTGTCCAGAAACAGTTTGCCGATCTCATAAGAGTCTAGATTCGATTATGTTAAACAATACTTATTATGAGATTTTGAAAGAATGATGTAAAAAATATTTTTTTATCTGCAAATGTTGTTATAAATAAATACCATTGTTTCTATCGAAATGATTTGCTTCTTAATTTACCAACTGTTACTGTCTTAAGACTGAATAAAAATAACACCGTCTCTCGGACCATAATGCATTAGTTTAGCCAAACAAGTAACCTACTTTTGTAAGCATAAAAATCATTTCCTCTCGAGTGGATCTTCCGTAAAAATCTGAAAAGATGAATGAAGAAGTCCAATACAATTTGACATAGCATGCAAATAAACGCCACTTTCACATAAACCCGTTTATCTAACAGATTTTAATTTTTTAGAAATTTTATCATTTTTTAGAATAGAATTAATAAAAAATGTTTTATAAGATATAGTACAGGAGTCGAAGCTGCGAATAGTGCAGAACCTGGCAATTCTTTAACAGTGCATCGATTAACTTGAAATTGTAACAGTAGGTAGGGAATAGCCTAAGGATCAAAATCTATATTATGCCGATGGGCGCTTTTCATTTTTTAGGGGTGAAAACTACCCCTTATTGCCAAAATCTATAAATCTATATATTAAAGCTTAAGGTGAGTAAAATTTGGTTCAGATGAGTTGAATAATAATTGTTTGACGCAGTGGAACATTATTTCAGAATATTTCAACCCTTAAAAATCAACCCCTAGTAAGGTTGAAATAAAAAAAAAAAATTATTTACCCTAAAAAAATCAATAATTTATCACAGCGTTTTAAGTTTAAGATGTTACTGCTTAAAATATTACTAATTTCATTTTGTAACTTTTTTAACCCTTAAAAACCACCCCTTATGACATTGCAATGCTTAAACACTACTTTCATAGATAGAAATAGAAAAAAAAATAAAAGGAACATATAGGCAGGTGTGTACATACACACATACACAGATATATTATATGGATATATGTGTTCGAGTGTGAATGGATGTAAGTGAGTATGTAATTGTCTAATGCGTAGTATACAAAATGTAAGCAAGGTAGTGCTCGCATATACATACACGTTTTCAACGTCCGTATCTCACTTAATTTTTGTCGTATAGAAAATGTACAAGAAGGGTAAATGTTTGGAATTAAAAAAGCTACAATTTGATACTGAAGCATTTTTTACGTGTCTCCAGTAGTTTTGGACTTATTTTGAAGAGAAGGGCATTCTTCACGAAATTGCAAAAATTCGTTTTTTACTTTTACCTCCAATTTTTTCGAAATTAAGCATTCTAGACCGGTCAAACTCATAGAATATATTAATAATACATAAATAAAGACAACTGTAAAAGGGCAACGATTAATTTTAATTTGGGTGGTAATTAGGGGTTGTTTTCGCTGATTTTTTTCAATGAAAAAAGTAGGGACCGACATTATTTTCATCATAACTCGCTCAATTTTTATGCTACAGACTTTTCTAAAAACGGAAAAGAAAGGTCTTTTTATATACTTTAAAAAAGATTCTATAAGTTTTTCTATAAAAATGCATACTTTTCCCGTTATTTGACTTTGAAACTCTGAAATTTAGCGTTTGACGAAGAAGAGCTTACTTTTAAGAAGTCGTAGTTCGGTTCCTATTGGTTATACAAAAATTTATAAAATAAGCATTTTCTTTGTTTTTGTAAAAGCTACAATTTTGCTCTCTACACTTTTTTTGATAAAATGCATCGTTTTCGAGTTAGCTGCGAATAACCGATTCAAAATGGTCATTTTTTCTGTGAAAAACTGATACTTTCGGTCCCTACTAACTCGAAAAGTATTAATTTTACAAAAAAAATGTATACAACACTTTTTGCTTAGAATTAGTTTTTCTATCGATTCCTGTGGTAAAAATGTAATAAAAAATTTCCACCCCCGAGGTGGGGTGACAATCACCCCCGGGGTGAAAGCGCCCTACGGCATAATATAGATTTTGATCCTTAGGCTATTCCCTACCTACTGTGAAAATTACAAGTTAATCGATGCACTGTCAAAAAATTGCCAGGTCAAAACGTACGACTCCTGTAGGTACTAATACTATATTCAATGATATTAACCGTAAAGTCGTGTTTAAATGATACCGATAAGCCTAATGTTGTTGTGATATTGCATACTTTTTTTATCTCCTTGCTATCACTACGTGTAATATCGCACATTTTGCCTTATGTCTGTGTAGAACAAAAGACAAGATTATCTCATAAAAATATCATAAATAAAGAAAAAACGGTACTTGTATAAAAATCATGCATTTATATATATTATCATCTCATCTTGCTGATTTCTTAAATAAAAAAGTAAGATGAAGAATTATAATATAATACATTTGCGTGATCGTTGCTGATATGGAGCTTACTTTGCTACGCGGTACAAAAACCAGGTACGTCACATAATTTGCCAAATAGGAGCATATTTGCCTAATTGTTAAAGAAGAGACATTGTTAGGTCCGGAATTTATATAATTATAAATTTGTATAGAACAGTTCAGGGAATTTATAAATAACGCGAATTAGCCGTTAAAATCTTCTTGAAAGACTCTTGCTGAACAGATATTATCATACATCATGTATACAATCTCGATATTTCAAACTGAACTATGAACATTCCAAACACAATATACCTAATCATATATGATACAGCTCATAATATCATGAAAATTAATAAAAACTTCTGAACTAGGCTTTTATAATATTTTCGAAAGAGCTTGTGGCTTATTTGATCACCTTTGCTCCTTTAATTTTTGTTATCGCCAAATATGATAATGCACGTTCTGCTTTGTGTTTATTCGATTTATTCGAGAAGATGTTTTCCTAAAAAATCATGAAGGAGAGAGAAGAGCGATATATAAAAGTCGGATGAGTTTACCATATAAGCAAGAAAGTAAAATGAAGGGATACGTTTGTGGAATCTTGTTTCTAATGTACATAGGACTGATACCCAGTACTACGGAAGCACAAGGTATGTCGCATAACTTGTCGACCAGAGAATAAAATTTTACTCTTCAGAAAAACAAATTATTCTAAATATAATATTTTAGGGAATAGATAACCTCGATATTTCAACATAACAGATTATTTGATAGGTTTTTTTTAAACAAAAATGATAATACCAGTACTAATATGGTCACATATAGCTAATATCTGGCTAAATAGCTAAATATCTAAAAAATAAAATTTTTCGAATTATATTCTTTGAATACGGATTTTATATACTGAATATGGATAAATATTCATTTAGATTTGTGCAAATGGGGATCCGGATATTTGGCAGCGGGCCCACACACTTTTCACCCGTGCATGTACGTGTATTGTAATGGTCAGAACGGTCTAGTTGAATCAGTTGAGTAAGTCTCTCTCAAAACGTTATATCATATATTATTATATATATATATATATATATATATAAGATAATTTATAATATATATATACACAATGATTCTCTATTAGTCGATTATTTCGGTATTCGCATTTTTCTTTTTTTTTTTTTGCAAACGCGATTACAATATATGGTTAGTTATTTATATTATATATCTCAATGAATAAAAAATATACTTGTAAAGAATGAAACAATGGATTTTTATATTTTTGAGACTAAAACTTCATTTGACAAACATTTAAATTCTATGAACTATTATAAGAAGAGTACTATTTTTAGAAATTAAAAAAAATTTGTTTCACATATCATTTTTATTCTATATCTCAGAGAAAATATATGGAAAATAAAAGGAAATATAATAGAAAATATTATCGTATTATTTTTTTTTTCACATCATTCTTTTTCTTCTGACTGATGTGCTCCAATATTTAAATAATAATCAACAGTATTCCCTATTTTGCAATTATAATATTCTATAAGATCTACAATTACAATATTTTGTTTCTGTGTGTCGTGATTTCAATGGTAATGTACAGAGATTTTTTGTAAAAATCTTTTTCACAATCTAATTTAATGTTTGTTTTTCCAGATGCCCTAAATTAAATTGTGGTCCAAATGCCATCACGATTCTTCGGAAACCACCAGATGAAGGAAAACAGTTTCCCGATTGCTGTCCAACAACGCTTTGTGCAACTA